CAAACCAGACCTTGGGAAGCTGCAGAGCAGCTCCAAGGAAAGCTCTGGGAAGGGGGGAAAGCCCCCAGGGAAGCCCATGCAGGGGTGGCAGAAGTGCAGCACGAGGGGAGCATGCAGAGCAGCAGCAGGGAGCAGAGCCCCCCTGCCATACTCACTGTCTGCCAAACGGGAGCTGGGGGCAGCAGCACTGGCTGAGGAAAGAGAAACCAGGTGAGCACAGGCAGGGGAGGGCTGGGAAGTGCTGCCAAAAGCCAGGAAATTATGAGGAGGGGGGCGTGGGGGTGATTTCACTGCTGGTTTGTACACAGAGCCCCACACAAGCTCTCTTTGAACACTTCTGGGTTCAAACCCTCCCCCTGCTCCCCAGGCTTTTGTTTGGCTTCAGCTTTGTAGGGAAAAGGAAATGAAGTAAAGCAGCAAATGGTTAAACTGAAAATACAAACCCAGGTCAACTCAAGACACTCTCCCAACCTCCAGAATTCTCATCTGTGCCACTGTAATCCATAATTATCACTAATTACCTCATGGAGAGGGCCTCTCAAATAGACAGAAAGTTCTTTTTCTTATTGAGGGAAATTAAATAAATCAAAATGACTTCAGACTTATCCCAGCAGGCATTAAAAATTGTGTCAGGTTTTACATTCAGACAGAGACTTTAAATAATAGGGCAAGGAAAACAAGTGGCTTTGGTTAATCTGAGCTGTAAAATTCCTGCAACATCTCTGTGACCTTCAAATCACACTTGAGGGGACAAAAATTCCTCCTGCTTGTGACTCTGGCCATAAAGAGGTGTCTGGAATTCCAGCAGGGATGGCTAGAAAGGCATTTTTGTGGTGCCATCTCCTCAGCCAGGGTCTGAGGAGCAGAGAGAACTGGGGACAGCGCCCAGGATGATCCCACTGCAAAGCTGCAAGAGCAGGATGGAAGTGCAAATGAAAAATGCAAGGAAGGAGGAAGAACTGCACCGTGCCCTGCAGCAGGGGAGCACAGAGGCACTGACAGCCCGCTGCCACATGAGAATAAAAAGAAGAAAAAGCTGAAGACTCCATTCCAGAAGTGCTGGAACGTTTGCAAAGCCACCTACCTGTCCCCAGGTGCTGGGCACGCAGGCTGGGGCTGCTCAGAGCTGTTCTTGCTCCTTTTCCTCTCTTCTCTGCTGGATTTCCCCTTTTCCTGCAGCCCTGCTCTCCCTGGGGCTCTTCACCTCCAGTTCAGGGGTGCCCCAATCCTCAGCCTGGCCTCTCACCCTGACTATCATCACCCTCACATTGTTTTTTTCCTAATTGTTCCTGCAATTAACAGGATCCAAACAATCTCAGCCCGCACAAATGTTCTGGAACTGCCTCCCAGGGGCTCCCTAACTGCTGCAATTTGCAGCCCTGCCCGTCCATCTGTCCATCCATCCTTCCCCTTCCTGCTCCACGGCTGCCAAGCTTTTCTCCAATTCAAGCTTCCAGGGGGAACTGCAACAACGCAGTTCAAAATTTAGGCTAAAAATAAAAATATATTTTAAATCCTCTCCTTTTTTTCACTTCGGGAATCTCAAAGAAGCTTCTTCGAGCTTGTCCTTGTAATCTTGGGAATAGCAGCAGCTCCCCACAGATGCATTGATAAATAGAATAATGCTCACTGGGATAAAGAGGTTTTTTTAGCTCCATTGATCAGGTTTGACTGGAAAGGCACAAAGCTATGGAGCCAGCTCCATATTTCACTCACAATTACACAAATCCATCACATTCCTGACTCATTTTCCGTGGGGAAGTGGGGAACATGCCATTTTAAAAAATAATTAGTATGAGGTTTATTTATTTTATCACACAATCTACACAAGTGCTGGAAGACTGTCCAGTGATAAAATCATTCGTCAGAAGAGGAAAAAAAATTGAATTTTTTCTTCAATTTTGTGCTTTCAAAATTGTGAAGATATTAAAAATTTTGAAGTTTTTGGTTGGCTCTGGCCTAAACCAGATCTGCAATTTAGCTGACTGAGTTGATTTCCCTGAATTATCTCAATATCATTAAAATTAAACTATTTTTAATGGATTCATAAATATGAAGCCTTCCACTACTCCACTCTGAGTCAACACGCTATTTGTATTTATTATAATTATTATGATTAGATAATCACTACATTAAATATTTCAGCTGCATGCTGTAGAGCACAGACAAAGAGTTAACCCTAATTCTGTTCTAAAAAAGAGCAGAGTGGCTACTCCAGAGTGAGTGTTGTTAATGGACACTACCAGTTACTCCAATCCTACAGCCCCTGAGAGGAAAAGGGCACTGAATTAAAAGCTGGAAGTTCTGGGTGTTAGAGGAACACTCTAAAAACACCAAGAGAGAGTGAAAGAAATGCAGAGAGCACTTACGTGGGTGAGGGATGCCTGCAGTTTATCCATGGATGGGGACACAGACCAAAATCGAAATAAAAAGACAGAGATAGACACACACAAACATAAAAAAAAATAAAAATAAATAAATGTAGAAGATGTGAGGAGACAGAGAATGTGGAGCTGGAGAATCAGCAGCCCAGGGAGGGGCACAGCTCAGGGACTCCTGACATGCTCGGGTGGGCTGGAGGGGCCAGCCCTGGCTCCAGCAGAGGGGTCTGGGGACAGAAGTCCAGCAGAGGGGTCTGGGGACAGAAGTCCAGCAGAGGCTGGGAATGACAGGCCAGGGCTGGAGGCAGCAGGAAATTGGGAAAGCAGCACGGCAGAGCAGCTCAGCTCTCCCTGCCCGCCCTGCTCACACCCCCTGCCCACCCCCCTTTCATCGCTTCCCTCTTTCTCTCCTTCCCACCTCGGGAGCTCCCTGGTGTTTAATCCTTTCCTGGAAGAGGAGGGCAGTGCTGGGCCACAGCAGAACGTGGAAATGGGGAAATGGGCCAGGCAGAGCAGAGAAGAGCCTGAGGAATCCACGGAATCCCCCCAAGAGCTGCAGGAGCACCTCAAAGCAGGATGTGCAGAACAGAGCAACCCTCCCCACCTTCACCTTCCACGGCCCAAGGGCAGTCCTGTGCTGAACACCTTCATGTGGAAAACAAACCAGCCTTGTGACAGTGACATCGCATTCTCTGTGACCAGAACCCTTCTCAGCTGCTTTTGCTCATCAAAATCCTCCTTCCCACTGCCCCTTCTCTTTGGCACCACCAAGGTTGAGCTGGAAACGCCAACCAGGGCAAACAAAACTCCTCCGCCTCCTCCCTTCAAAGACGACTTTTAATTATCAACAAAAGCCACTCCAACCCAAAGGCACAGAGAAAACAGAGGGTGCAGCGAGGTCTGTGAGAGAGAAAAGGTGAGATCCATGCAGGGCAGAGGCTCCAGGAGAGGGAGCAGAGGGAGCTGGGCTGTACTTACGGACTGGCTGCGTCTTGAACTCGGCGGGCAGGCTGAGCTCCCCCACGCCCTTGCCATTGACTGCTGACAGCCTCACTGCATAGGTGGTCTCAGGCTTCAGCCCCGTGATGGTCACCGTCCCCTCCACGTTGGCTGGGGGGGAGAAAAAGCAAAGAAAAGCTCAGGACTCAAAGGAACAAATGAACAAACTCTGTTCTCCCCATGTGCGGAGAAAAGGGACAAATAAAGCTGGGATCACACCGCTCCAGTGGGGAACTAAAATAAGAATTTCAGCTCCACATGGGATTGGTGGTGGGAAGTTCAGCTCTGGAGCAGAACTCTCTCTTTTACAGCCCTCCTCAAATCAAAATTCTTTTGTTTTATTGGACTCCAAGATGGATTTTGTGCCACCAGCACTGCTACAGATCACTTCAACAGGACGGGTTTGCTGCTGGAATAGCAGAGTTTACTCTCCAAGGGGGACCAAGGGGTGACAGATGAGGGCTCAAAAGCCTCCTGTGGGAAGCAGCAAGTGAAAACTTCTCCACCCTGCTTGACTGAGCTCTCAGCAAAGCCCAACGCTCACTTCCAGTTGAAAATTCCACAGCAGATGTTTAAAAACACAGCACATGTTTAAAAACTTGTCTGGCGCCTCCAACCTGAACCCTCCACCCTCCCTGGTTGTTTCCTACAGGAAAGCTGATGTTTTTTTGGTGATGGTGGTGAAGGAACCGGGTTTTTTTGGGTCGCTCCTACCTTCCTTGGCATCGTAGAGCCTGGAGTGCCAGTCCCCCTCGCCCAGGGCTCTCCACTCCGCCTTGTACTTGAGGATGGGCACCCCGCCCGTGGCCTCGGGCTCGTCGAACTCCACCTGGGCACTGCTGGAATAGGGCTCCACCCTGCCGATGGAGGGCGAGGAGGGCGTGTCTGGGGACGAGGGACAGCAGAGGTGAGGCACAGAGCTGGGCAAGGAGCCCCAGGGGCAGCTGGGGACAGCCAAGAGCTGGTGCAGCCCGGGACAAGGGTAGGGCTGAGCCTTGCAGAGGGTTCAGACACCTTTGAGAGATGTTAATTAGTGCACAGATCTTAATTCTGGCTCCTCTCTAAGAGGCTGGAGACTCCCAGTCCTGTCTCCAAAAGAGAACAACCAGGGCAGTGCAGCAAAAGCACGGTGGATGTCACTCTGTCCCCAGTGTCCCTCCCACGGGGCACTCAGTGCAGAGCTCCAGCATCCCCAGATGCCCCAAATGCTGTGGCAGCCCTGCAGCCCTGCCAGGGCTGAGATCCTGCAGTCCAGCTGCTCTGAGGGGCTTTGGCTGGGCTGGGGTTTGGGGTGAGCACAAAGCCAAGGTCCCAGCTCTGACAAAGCGCTCTGGGAGCACAGGAAAGAACAAACCCCTGGAGAAACAAGGGACCAGAGATGCTGAGCGGCTCCAGCCCAGCAGGAAACCTCTGAACAGCCCCTCCAAAGGCAGAAGTTGCTCTCCTGCTGCCCCAGCAAAGGAACCAGCAAAGCAGGGGCACCGAGGCCCCCGCTGGCACGCTGCCTGCCCTCCTGCTCACCTGCCTGCACCAGGATGAACTCGGAGGACTCCTGCCCGATGCGGTTCACAGCCGTGCAGTTGTAGTTCCCAAAATCATTCTCCGAGTCCGGGGTCACCTGTGGGGCAAGCGAGGCTCAGGCTGGGACCACAAAACCCTTTCTGCTCTGCCAGGGCACCCTGAACTGAGCTGGGGAGAAGCTACAATCAAACCCAGGTGTTTGTGCTCCCAGGGGGAGAGAACTGCAGTGGGCAAAAAGCAGAGGCAAGCAGGGGCTTTCTGAAGTTACAACAAATAATATTTTAGTTTAAAAGTCTATTTAAGGCCTCTAGATAAAAAATAATCCACAACAATTGAGCATATTTTATTTCATGAAAGTGTTTTATACTTTCAATAAGTGTCTTCTGTTACCTGATTATCTTCCATTATCTTTATCTTCTTGATCTTCACCAACCTGATTTTCTCAGAATTTATATGCTAGAAACACCACCCCAACTTCATTTCTACCGAGAGGACAAGACTGAATGTTGTCTTGATTTTTAAGTGTTAAGTTTTCTTTTATAGTTATTTTAGAAGTTCCAGATGTCGCTATTGGACAGGAAACGAGTACACAGAAGCTTGTCAAGTTCAAAGGAGAAAAGGAGAGAGTTTTATTTGAACATTTGGTGTTTATAGAATTCTAAAGGTGCCTGTGGATTGGAGGATGGAATTACCACCTCTCCAACCACACTGGTCCAAAGATTAATCACTCATTTCTCTCCACTCACAGAGAAATGTGTAAACTATTCTATTTCTACACGAAATTATGTGGGAACTCTTACTTTCTCAGAAGGCCAAAGCAGTTTTATGAGAACTTTAAACCTTTTAAAAGAACTATAAAGGAAAACTTAACACTTTTAAAAATCAGGGCAACAACTGAAGTCCTTCAGCATCAATTATGTGATGGCACTGAGCCCTCCCGGCTTCTCCTCACCTCCAGGTAGCTTGCTGAGGGCGTGTTGTAGATCTTGATGTTGCTGTAGTTGGAGCTGGGGAGGAGCTGCCCATCCCTGAACCAGGAGATGACAGCACTGGGGTAGGCAAACACCTCACACGTGATGTTCACTTGGTTTCCTTCCCAGGTGTACACGGCCACAGGGCCCTGGAGCTTGGGGGCATCTGAAAGACACGTTTGGGAAAGCAGTTGGAGGCAGCCGAGCTCCCAAAAAAGCCTCCCTGAAAGGATTCCTTGGCGGGAGTCCAGCCCAATGTGGGAAGGGCAATGTAATATTGGAATATCTGAGGAACGTTTGGGGTTGTTCAGCCTGGAGAAGAGGAGGCTCAGAGGTGCCCTCCTTGCTCTCCACAGCTCCTGAAGGGAGGTTCAGACAGGTGGGGTCGGTCTCTGCCCCCGGGCAGCACTGACAGAGCCAGAGGACACATCCTCAGCTACATCAGGGAAGGTTTAGGTTGGATATTAGGAAAAAGATTTTCACTGAAAGAATCATAAAGCACTGGAATTGTCTTCCCAGGGAGGTGGTGGAATCACCATCTCTGGATGTGTTTAAAGAAGACTGGATGTGGCACTTGGTGCTATGGTCTAGTTGAGGTGCTGGGGCATGGGTTGGACTTGATAATCTGAGAGGCTCTTCCAACCTCATTATTCTGTGATTCTGAAATGGGAGCTGTCCTCTTATCCAGGGCGTGGGGAATGGCTTCTGCTGAAGGGCATGAAGAGAAAACCTGCTGAGCCCCACAGTGCTCCCACAGCAGGACGGGGCTGGGGAAGCTGCTCCAGGGCAGAACTGCACTCCCACCCACGGGGGCTGCAGCAGAGCCGTGGGGAGGTGCACAGAGGTGCCCAGAGCAGCCAGGCTGGACCCAGGCTGCTGCTCTGCCTCTGGGGAAATGCTCATTCCCTCCCACGGGACCCCTGCAGCTGGGACCTGACAGCAGGACCCTTCCTGCCTGCCCCAGCGGGGCTGGCCAAGGAGCCCTCCCTGTCCTGAGCCTGGTAAGGCTCTGTCCCTTCCTGCTTCGTTCTCTTTTCCCCTTCATCCCATGGAATAAACAGCCTGGACAACCACATCGGGGAATTGGAGCCTCTTTTGGAATCTCTGCCCAACTCCTGATGCACCTTCCCCCAAGGCCCCTTAGATCTGGGCTAGGCTGGTGATTTTGGGGGGCTGCTGGGGGTGGGTGTGTCAACAGGCAGAGAGGAACAGTGAGGGGACAGCAGAGGGGACAGCAGAGGGGACAGCAGAGGGAACAACCAGAGGGGACAACCAGAGGGGACAGCAGAGGGGACAGCAGAGGGGACAACCAGAGGGAACAGCAGAGGGAACAACCAGAGGGGACAACCAGAGGGGACAACCAGAGGGAACAGCAGAGGGAACAACCAGAGGGGACAGCAGAGGGAACAACCAGAGGGAACAACCAGAGGGAAGAGCAGAGGGAAGAGCAGAGGGAAGAGCAGAGGGAACAACCAGAGGGAACAAGCAGAGGGAAGAGCACAGGGAACACCCTGCAACATCCCAGCCGGACGCTCTCCCCAGCCCGAGCTGCTCCCAGAGCACTGCGGGCAGGGGTGAGGGAAGGAGCCAGCCCCCCGCGAGCCCCCCACACTCACAGTGCACCTCCAGGTACATGGCCTGCGAGTCCTGGCCGATGGTGTTGCTGGCCGTGCAGACGTACTCGCCCGCGTCCGTGTACTGGATGTCCTTGAGCGTGAGCGAGGAGACGCGCGCGTGGCTGCGCACCACGATCCGCCCGTCCAGCGTCTGCAGCACAGCACAGCTCGGTCACAGCCCGGCCCCGGCGCTGCCACTCGCCCTGCCCCGGCCCCAGCCGGCCCTGGCACCGGGCTGCCCTCACCTGAGCCCAGGTGAGAGCACCGGGGGCAGCTCCCTGCCCACGCCGAGCAGCGGCTCCGGGCACGCGGGGGAAACGTCAGAAAGAGGACCAAAGTATCAGCTACTGCTTATGTGAGACCTCTACGTGTCTGAGAACAAAGTCAAGCTTCTCCCCAGCATGGGAACTGCACAGATTCAGCTCTGGTTAAAAGGTTCTGCCAGCATGCAAAGAGAAAAAAATAAAAAAAAAAAAAAAAAAAAAAAAAAAAAAAAAAAAAAAAAAAAAAAAAAAAAAAAAAAAAAAAAAAAAAAAAAGGAAACCTCCCCAAAAGCTTCCAGGCAGAGAATCCAGCCCTTCCTGTCCTCTCAGCAATACTGGTTTTATCTCAGTGCCCCTGAAATGGGTAAGGAAGAACAGATCCGGAGCTCGGAGCTGAATCGGGCAAAAAGGAAGCTCAGAACTTTCACCTGAATGTGGCACACGCAGACAGGAAAATGCAGTGAAAAGGGCAAGAAAGCCTCTAGATAGAGAGCCCTGCCTCAAGAGAATTCCAGAACCATTTCCCAACAGAGTGTGGGGATGCCACTGACAGAGAGGAACAAGGAATGTAAAACCCCAGGGGATTGCCAAGGGACTGCTCCCACCCAGCCACCCCAGGCTGCGTGGTTTTCCTCTCCAGTTTGTCACCAAACCCAAGAAAACACAAAGCCAGGGACTCCTCTCTCCCTCCTGCTGCCTCTGCCTCAGCCTGGAAGCTCTCAAGCACCAACTCCCTCCTCTCATTTCTGATTTTGCAGCACAAACACAAGGGAGTAAATTTGGCACCCTCCTGGCTGTGCCTGCTGCTGCATCCTGCCACCCTCCAGGAGCATCTGTTTCCTTGGGAGGTGCAGGACAAGTGCTGATAAATGAGTAAAACCCTGAGGACTTCCAACAGCCAAGTGCACAAAAAGCATCTCTGCTATCTCAGGTGTCAGACCTCTGGGCCTGAAGCCTCTCTCCGTGCTGAGACTGGCAAAGTTTCTACAAATAAATGTCTTTTGTCACCTCCCTTAGCTCCAGCAGCAGTTCATGGGCACCGGGCCAACTTCCAATGCACAGAAATAGTATCTTTTGATGGCACATAAACAACTAGGTGTATTTTGCTCCTCTTTCTTCCCTGCTGCAATCCCTGGCCAGTGCCATGAGCTACAGACTCCCTCCCTGTGCTGGGAAAAGTTATTCCACGGACACGGGGGGCTGTGGGCATCACTTCCTAGAGCCTGACACAAACTGCTGTGGTACCACACAACCAAAATCTGCTTTTAACTCCTGCCCTGCCTGGCTGCACTGCCCTCCTGCTGTCTGACTTTGGATTTCCCTGCAAACCCCAGCCCATTCCAGCAGCACCCAGGGGTGCCAGGACTCCAGATCTGCGGGAATATTCTCAATATTTCTCTCTGGGACCTCACCAGAAGAGTGGAAGGGACAAAATACCAGCGTGGGATCAGCACAGGTAATTCTAGAAAAGGCAGTTTTACACCCAAATGTCTCCTGCCTTTCTCCCCACCTCCTCAAGATCCACCACAAAGGAGTGCCAGGAAATCATGGGCAGTGATGATTCCATGAGCAATGAAAATAAAGCTCTGGTTTTTTAATGCAAAAAGGAGTAAGAGAAGAAAAAGAGAGGTGAGGAAAAACACTCTAAGGAAGAGAAACACGCCTAGCCAAGAAAGCACATTCAAGTTTTCTCTCTCCCTACTGCAGCCCACCAGGTGCTCTGGCTGCTGGAGACAGGACAGGCAGGAATTTGGGAGCCAGATGTTGACATTTGTGCCCCTTTTACCCAAATCCCCCAACTGCAAGCATCTGGGCTAACAAAAGAGCAAAATCTTCGTGTTGGGGAGAGCAGCTCAGGGAATCTCTCCTCAGATCAGAGTAGGATGTTCCCTATATTGCCAATTATTGCAATTTATCCTGAGCTAATGCAGGTGTTTTCCCCCAAATTCTGGCTGTGCCCTGGGGCACAACCACTGTGATCACAGCTGGCCAAGAGCTCAACAGCTCAGGGCAAAAAGGGGGACAGCATAAATAAATAAAATACATTTATCCTCCTTCCCTTCACCTTCTGAGCTTCCAGGCCCTTCCCAAACAAGCACCCACGGATAATTCTGCACAGCCCTGTCTGCTCCTCAGCACTTTCCACACCCTCCCAGAGCCCTGGAAACCCCGAGCCCAGGCAGGAATTCCACTGAAGGAAGAGGAGGGGTCCTCTCCTTGCTCTGTGCTTGCAGTGCAGTGTTTGATATTTGTATTTAACTGCAGCCCTAATGCTGCACCCATTCCCAGGTACCAGCTTGGGGCGTCACTGAGGGTACCCAGAGATGCTGCCAGGACTGACTTCACCTCCTCACCCGAAATTCCTTCAGTAAAAGTCAAATACTTAATGCCAAACACCCCCTGACCTTCATCCTGCCGCTGGAATCCACTGCTAAAAGCCCCCAGGCAACTTTAAAGCAATTTAAAAGTGATTTTAGAGAGATATCCTGCACCCCACTGGGGTGTTTTAAGACACAGAGGCAGAAAGAAATTTAGAGACAGCAAACTTAATAGTATTAGTGCTTATATTAATCAAAAGCTGAAGAGAGAGAGCACAGAGAAAACAGTGGGGCAGGGAGGGGACAGCTGTGACAGGAATTCCTGTGGGTCCTGGAGAGATGCAACTACTCAAATTCCAAATTCTTCAGTGCAAACTGCTCTGAGTATCTGATGCCTCCACCTGCCACAACCCAACAGATTATCCTGGAGGAAGAATGGGCAGGATCTCCTCAGCCCCCCATGAAGCACAGCTGGGTGGTGCTCAAGTTACAGCTTCACTTTGCTCAGTCTCTGGGATTTGGGATGGCTTCAAAATAATTTTAAAAAATCAGAGCCTCCACGAAGTTGATCCTAAAAATACAAATCCAAGTCACCCAGTTCTAACAGCTCATTCTGTTCTTCACCTGACCCCTGTTATTTGCTTGGGAACTTTCCTTCTGGTCCATTTTGAAGCAAGAGGGCTACAAATCAGCTGCATTATTATTATTATTATTATTATTATTACTAAAGCACAACGCTGAATGTGTAATAAAATCAAACCCCATTTGCACCAACCCCAGTCACTGCATTATCCCACCTCCCCCTCGCTGACCCTTGCAGATCAAAGACAAATGAAAATAATTGAGCAATTTGGAGCATTTTTCTGGAGCAATGCCCCTCGTGCAAGGTTTCTCTGCACTGACTTGGAAATGGAACATGATGCAGTTTCCTTTTCAGAGAAGGTCAAACTGAAGGAGTGCCATGAGCAAATAGGTGAGTTGGCTGGAGCAGAGGAGGCTTTCTTGGGGAAAAATGATTTTCCCAAAATGCAGGTTGGTGTTAATTCTTCCCTCTCTGAGAGAGAGGATGATTCACACTGGCATCATAGGGGGGAAAAATGGCGAAAAGAGCATTTTACATTTGCTTTTTATTTTAATTGCCTTCACTTGAATTTTGAAGTGACAAGCAGAGTTCCTCACTCCCAACACAGCTGCTTTGCTCATCCAAAAAATGCATCACTACATGCCAAGCAATTTCTACCTCTAGAAGCTGCTTCTTGTATGTACTGGTATTTAACTGGGTCGGATTAATGCTCGTTTAGTTGGTTACTGCACTAGAGACTTGTTAATCTGTAATGCTTAGAAGAGAAACCAAAATCCAACAACCTAAGAAGTTTGCTAAAGGTCTGGCAATCTTATACCTCTTGTTTCTCGGGCCGGGTCCACGAAGCCTGGAGAGAACAGATATAGAACACAACAACAACAACAGAAAAAAAGCAATAAAAGTTTATCAAAGGTTGCTTTCAGGTACCAGGGTCTGCAGCACTTTGAGCTGTGTGCACATGCAGGCTCCAAGCTGAGCATCTCCTGTGTGGGGGGGATCACAGCTTGCCTTTCCCATCAATTTTGGCTGGCATTCACCATTTCACAGCCTCTGCATTGGTTTTGAAATGCCTGAACAAAGGCTGAGGGCACCTCAGGACTGATTTATGACACCAGGGACTCTTTCTTCTGTCACACCTCACCTTTCCTACACACCTGGTGCTCAGGAAGTGGCTCTGGCCACTGAATTGCAGAGGTGTTGTGCCCCTGGTCTGTTTGCCACCCCACACCGATTAATTAACGCTGATTAATGTGCTCATCATGCATTTGGAGCCCTGGTTCCATGCAGGCTGTGCCAGGAGGAGGAGCAGAGCTGCAGAGGACCCCCAGCTCCAGCTCGCTGAGCTCAGGGGCGGCAGCACCCGGCCCCTGCTGGGCTGGGGACAGCCCCACAGCAGTGAGACATGGCCAAACCTTCCTTTAAAGCAAATATTTCCCATCAGAGAAAGCCACCAGCAGCAAGGAGCACGCTCCCTGGGGCTGCAAGGAGCCAAGCTGCTGCGTTCCATTTCCCCCCTGTAATTGATATTTCAGCTAGCTCCTGGTTTCCATCATTTCAACTGATCCCCTTCAGTTCAGGAGGCAAAAATCACCTGCTGCCAGGAGAGCCAGGAGGGCCCCACTGGCTGTGAGGACGTTGTGGGGGTGTCACAGCACACACGAGTGACGGGGATGGAGATGGAGGCTCAGGGAATGAGGAGCAGGAGCAGAGCCCTGTGAATGACACTGAAATCCCAACAGATGGACACACGCCTCTCTGACACTGCCTCTGGGGAGAGCAAATGGCTGGGTTGGACTGGGGGCCTGGGGTGCAGCTCAGCAACCCTGCAGGGGCTGGGACACTCCCAAATCCTGCTCATACATCCTGCTGAGCAGGCAGCCCAATATTCCTGAATAATCCCATTTTTAGTCCCACTTATGGCCTTGTGAGTCCCCTGCCACTCCTGCTCTCTGCAATCTCAACACTTTTCATCCCTGGTGTCGACCCAGAGGAAGATGAAGAAGGAAAAGATTCTGTTCCCAAACGCTCAGAGCTTCTCTGCAGTGGCCCTTGGGAGGGGAGGGAAGTGGCAGAGCCTTCATTCCCCATCCCAGAGAATCCCAGACTCCACCCAGCAGCACGCAGGGAATGAGGGGGGAATCCAAAGCCTCGTGCACCTTCAGGTTCCTAAATGATTAAAAACTCATCCAATCTCTGGCTGCCAACAGCACGGAGCTGAGAGAGGCTGCGGGGCAGCAGCAGCACCCAGAAAGCAGAGGGAGGATGGGCTGGGCTGGTTCTAGGAGAGCACCATGCACTGCTGGAATTCACCTGTCAGACACCCAAAGTTCAGCCAAGCCACTCAGGTCCGTGCAGAATCTGCATGTTCCTGCCTGAGGAACAGGGAGCAGACCTGGGGGAAAGGCCCAGGGACAGCACAGGGTCCAACTGTGCTTGGGATGCAGGAGGGGGAAATCAGAGCTCATCCCTCCCTCTGCTCTTCCACTCCTTTGGTGGGAAGGTGTCCCTTCGTTTTCTGCCCTGCAGGGTGGCTGGGAGAGCAGCTCCCATGAGATGCAGCCCTGGGTGAAGGAACGAGGACCTGCAGAGTGCTTCCCTCCCCTCCCCACGGGCTGGCCTCCCAAACCCAGCCATGGCCCCACAGCTGCTCCGTGGAAGGCTGGGACATCCCCAAATCTGCCAGGAGACACAGCTGAGCTAAACCTTCCTTTTTCTTTGGGGGTTTGGGTAGGTTTTCCAGAATGTTCTGGGAGTTAAGGCATCTCTACACCTCTAAAAACCTACACTGAGGGATGATCACAAGAGCAAAGTCAAGCAAGAGAGAAGCATCCAAGGACCTGGATAACAGAAACATTCAAAAGCAGGCTTGGTAATTCTTAAAATAGCATAGTTGGTCCTGTATCACTTCCCTGTGCAGTCCCAGAGAAAGTGGAGAATAAACTGAATATATGGATTTGTAACAGAATATTTAATAGAATTAAATATTCGAATAGAAGTTGTAGTAGAATATTTATAGAGCTGTTCTGACCTCAGGATTTTCTGGATATCTGAAACGTTTCCCTCAGCTTAGAGCACGAGAGAGAGAATGAGAAAAGTACAAGACAAACCAAAACAAAATGCACACACACACAGAATAATCCAGCCTAGAAAGTGAATGGGATATGAAAAAATAATGTTTGCCCTGAAGGTTTGAACCAGCACATGAACACATGGCAGTACCTCAAACCTTGGCTCTTCCCCCATCTCAAAGTGTCAGAGCAGGAACATTTCCCTTGCTATTGATCACCAAGCTGGGAGCACCGAGCAGAGTCTCAAAAATCAGCAAAAATTAGTTAGCAGTTTTGCCACTGAGCTCATGATGGTTTAACTGGGCTGCACAGGGGGTCTCTCCTACCACTTGATTCAGTTTTTACATTCTCCTCCCTGCTCAGCTGGGCTCCAAACTCCAGAGCCAGCAGCACTGGAGCCCTTGGCACCTCCCAGGGCTCTCCTAACACACACAAACCATGAATAAATAACCTCCAATCCTGCCCAAACAGGTCCCCCAGTCAGGCTGCAGCTTCTGCAGGCACTGGGAAGCTCTCCCTGAACATTGCAGGGATTCACAGCAGCCCTGGGATCCAAAAGATGCTAAGAAAGAAGTGAAGCTGGAACATTTTGGCACCCTGATTAATAAACTTACACATGGACAACGAGGGGAGGGGCTGACGTCATGGGGGCAATTAAAAAAGCTCATTTAGGAGCTGCAGGGCAGGACAGCAGCTGTGGGGACAAGTGACAGTGGACACCTCTGTTGCTCCAAGACTTTCAGGGTGTCACCTGCTGCCTCCACACTGAGCCAGAACCCCTGGCGTGGCCAAGGCAGCTGAGCCCTGAAGCATCCTGCTATTAGGAGATTATTAATTAGCAACAACTCCTCACTCCTTCTTCTGTCTAGGCGTTCTCTGGCTCCAAATTCTGCCTCCTGATCACTTATGAAACATCTCCAGTACAGCAGCACACCCCAACCTCGTCTAATTAAAGGAGCTGTCGCCAATAACAACACCAGCACTCTCTTTCAAGAAGAAAAAACTGCTAATTATTTTTGCTTTTTAAGAACAAAATGGTATTGATGGGATCAACAGAAGAGGTGAGCACAAAAGGCAGCCAGGCTTTTGTGCTTCAGGGATGTGCAGTGCCAGAGGACAGCACGAGGAGGGATGAACAGGCTCATTTTGGATCCACTGCAGCCTGGACAGGGAGCAGCCCTCGCCTGCCACCTGCCCAGCACGGCCAGCTCTGGGTCAGGGATCTCATTCCCACCTCCCAGGAGCTTCCTGCAGCTGCAGCAACTCCTCTGAAGAGGGTTTCGGGTCTCTCCAATTGAATTCACCCCCAGGGAGTAGAGCAGGAATTACAGAACGTCTCCCCAGGTGTTCAGAGTTGAGGTGGCTCGACACAGAAGGGCACCTGTGCCACCAGGTGTGGCTGTGAGCCCGAGCAGGGGGAGCTGCAGGACCTGCACATGCATCCACATGCAATTCCAGGGCCAGGCAGGGCCGAGCTGTGCTGAGCTCACAAGCCCTGGGGCCTGGGGAAGGGCTGTACCTTCTCCTCGTTGCTGATGTTCCTCGTGGAGGTTCTCCAGGTGATGGAGGGGATGGGGTCCCCCGACGCCTCGCAGGTCAGCGTGATCTGATCCTCCAGCTCCATGGCTGTCTTGTTCTCCACGTAGGTGATTTTGGGTTTGGCTGGGGAGGAGGAGAAGAAGGAACCTGTGCTCAGCTGGGGCTCAGGGTGAAGCCTGTCTGTCACCAGCAGTGCCTGGGGAGAACTGGGACCATTTACTGCCAGCTGGGGAAGGAGCTGAGCGACTTCTACGAGGGCATCTCCTTGCAGAAGGACCTGAAAAACCTCCTCTGCCCACTCTTACAGCTGAGACTCCTGAGAGAGGACCCAGCTGAGAGTGTACAAATGCTCACCTTGGGGATTACCAGCTCCCTCTTCCACCTCCCTGCCTCAAACCAGCCCTTTGCTGAGCTGCTTGCTCAGCAGGGAGAATCCCACATTCCTGAACACTTCCAGATTCCTGGCAGGCAGGAAGCCCCTGGTTCACCCCTCCAAGCCTGAGGTCACCCCCACAGTGGTGGGGTGGAGCTCACCTCCCCATCCAGGCTGCAGCGAGCCCCACTCAAGTTCTAAAACCCTTTTAAGAGCAGCTTTGGTGGATCAGGACTCGCTGGGAGGCCTGCAGGGTATTTCCAGCAGCCTGAGCAGACAGGAGCTGGCGTGAGCTGCCCCCACAAACACACACAGGGTGGCAGAGGTGCACAGGCACAGCAGCAGCTGGGTAAGCCCCAGCAATGATTCACTGGGATAAGCAGTTCCCCCAGGTCCCCCTGGTGTGAGCAGCACCAGCAGGGCTGCCAGGGCTGCCAGGGGGCTGTTACCAAACACTTTGAGGTGGATGGTGGCGTCGGCCTCGCCAGCCTTGTTCTCAGCGATGCAGATGTACTCGGCCTCGTCGCTCTTGTCCACCCTGTGGATGACCAGCTCGGAGCCGTCCGAGTTGAAGCTGTATTTGTCCTCATCCTCCACCTCCTCCACGGGCTCTCCATCCCTGGGGGCACAAAGCACACGGGGCTGTGGGGGCAGAAGCCATCCCATGTTGCCCTGGTTCTTAAGATTTTCTAAAGCCTTCTGAGTTTACGTTCTTGTAGAGAATTTTCTCACACTACTTTCTGTAAGCAATCTATTGTTTTGCATTTAATGTACTAGTAATTTGTCCAATGTCATTGGAGAGGTGGCACATTCACTCTCCAATCCACTGTCACTTCTGGAAAAGTATAAATGCTGGAGTCAGAAAATAAACTTGCTCTTATTCACCTTTGCAATAGCAGCGGCTCACGTCGTGCTTTCATGTGTCCTACAGTAACAATCCCAGGCTGCTTCAGGCTTGCTCATGCAATTATTACACTGCAGCTCCTCCTGCCCAGAGGGACCAGCCCCTTCTCCTCTCCCCGAGGGCTCCAGAGCTCAGCTCGAGCCCTGCTCCCAGCCTTTCCTGCCCCAGGGCTCTTGGCAGATGAAGCTCTCACCTCCTGGTACACCACAGAGCTGTAACCCCAGTAAAGGTGGTTTCTTGCCTACCAAGGCACCACTCCAAGCTGCCATCAGCTTTTCCACCTTCATTCATGCTCCAAACCTTCACCAAAGGCTGCAGAATTCCAAGAACAGAGTCCCCGGAGTGGGAATCACTGCCTGACAGGGACATGCAGGAAGCTGGGAGGGGACACAGCTGACCTGGCTGAACGATGGGGAGCACTGAAAGGATTCTTTGTTCTGCTTTCCTTTATTAAACTGTTTTTATCTCAACCAGCAGGAATTTTACCCTCAGATTCTCCCCCCCTGGGTGGGCTCTGTGCTCCCAGCCTAACCCACAGCAGAAGGTGGCTTCAGCCCATCACGAGGCCATTGCTGTGAGCAAAATCAGCTCATCCCAGTCAGAAGATTCCCCTGCCTCCAGCCTGGCAGTGCAGGGGAAGCAGCCCAGCCCAGCAGGACACTGCACACAGCATCTTACTTCGTCCAGGTCACGGTGGGCTCGGGAAAGCCATCGGCATCGCAGGCCAGGGTGACAGACTGGCTGAGGTTGGCAGTGGCATTCATGGTGCTCTGCCTGGCACGCACCGAGGGAGGCACTGCAAGAGAACAAAGCCAGGGCTGAGCTGGAGAGGACAGAAGGTGTGAGCCACAGCAAGGATCCCTGATGGCACCAGCCAGCCCAACCCTGTCACCACCAGCTGCAGGGTTTAATCAGTGAGTCTGAGGCACGTCCAAAGTCATCGGCATGGGGGAGAAAGGGCAGTGGGTGGGGAGACAGAAGAACTCCGCGTGGTGGCCAAAACCACTTGTGAGTGCCACCAACATCAGCTCCTCACTCTAAGCTTCAGGTGTCTCAAGGTGTTCTTTTCCTGGCAAACACTCCCTGCATTCCTTGGACATTTTCTTTGGACACAGCAGAGAAGAGCATGGTGTGACTCTGAGGCAGCACCTCCAGCAGCAGACAGGGGTGAGGTGCTGCTTTGAGCCCCTCACCGTTCACGATGACCTGGATGTCCTTGAAGTTGATCTCCCCACGGGCCAGGATCCTCCCCTCACACCTGTAGGTCCCCTCATCTGTCTTCTTGATGCCGCGGATCTGCAGGTAGTTGTTGGACAGGACGATGAACCGCACTGTGGAGGACAAAGGGAAGGAAGCTCACTCCAAACTCTCCTCTCCTCACCCTTCTGCAACAAAATCTCCCTCCCCACCGTGAACTGGAGATGCTGCTGTGGCTGGATCTGCTTCTGCCAAGGAAGAACCACCTGTGGAGAGCAGCCAGCTGCTGTGGTGCTGTGCTGTGCTCAGGGAGGTGAACAGGTCAGTGCTCCCACAGACACGGTCACATCACAGCGGCCAGCAGCATCTGGGGCTCATCCCTCCTGCCCAAGGGCTCCAGCCTTGCTACCTGTGCCAGGTGTGGGAAACCTGCTCGGCTGGAGCCTGTGCCTCTGCCAGCCCCTCTGGACATGGCTGGCTGGAGCGCTTGGGAGGAAAGGGAAAACTTCTTGCAAGCAGCTTTCAGCCCCTTTTCCTCGGTGCCACAACATCCAGCTTTTCTGTCTGGTGGCACTTCTTTGATCTGGATTTTGTTTCCAGCATCCCTTGGCTGATTCTGATGCCAAAGCATTTCAGTGGGAACGTGACTGCCCTGCCACTGGCAAACCACAGCCGCTGGGATGACTGAATTCACATCCCATGGCCTCGTGGCAGGCACAAGCTGCTTCTCCCACCCCTTGTGGCCACCAGCATTCCATGTGGGAGGGAGATGGACATCTGACCCCAGAATGGACAACAACCAAGCCCTTACCATCCTTTTTTAGGATGACATCCCTGCCTTTGTGCTTCCAGATGATGGTGGGGGGCAGTGAGCTGACCACGTCACACACGATCACAGCATCGTCCCCTTCCTTGAACTCCTGAGGGGTGGGAGCGTTCTTGAACATCAGCTTTTCTGGAAACAGGGAAAGGAGAAGGTCACTGCAGCTTTCTCAGCACACCTGGAGCTGTGCTCCTGCCTTCAGCCTGAGGGGAGCAGAGAAACCCCCAAATCCCCAGAAATCATTAAACTAACAAGAACCATTACTAACTAACTAATTAGAAAACTCGTGACTGTCTCCTGAGAGTCCCGACACACATGTGGACCTAACTGGTCAATGGGTTTAAAACACCCTCACCAGTATCTCATCAATCAATCACCTTGGGTAAACAATCTCTGTACCACCTTCCACACAGGCACCAACAGGGAGCAGCGAACGAGACAAGAATTGTTTTGACTCTCTTTTCCCTGCTTCTCTTAGGAGAAATCCTGAGAAAATACCACACCCCCTTTCCTTTCACCCTGCTCCAACCCTTCCAACCTTTTCCTAGGAAGGTGAAACAGTTTCCTGCTTCTCCCTGCCTCACCAGGAGCAAGGAAAAAGCCTGGGGGGCTGTGCCTTACGGAAGATCTTGACGTTGACAGTGGCCTCGGAGTCGCCCTCCTCGGGGCTGCTGACCACGCACTTGTAGATGCCGGCGTCGTCGATGTTGGCGTTGTAGATGGTGAGGGTGGAGGAGAAGTCATCGTTGCGCACCACCGAGATGCGCTGCTGGTTGGGGCTCAGCCGCTCCCCGTTCGGGGAGAACCACGAGATGTCCTTGAACTTGGCCTCGCCGGCCACTG